ATTTATTTATTTATTTATTTATTTATTTATTTATTTATTTAATTTATTTATGTGTATGTGTGTCCATCTATGTGTACCATGTGCATGCAGGTGCCTGCACAGGTAGAGGGCATCAGATCTTCTGGAACTGGAGTTGTGAGCCATCTTATGTGGGTGCTGGTAACAAACCGGTGTCATCTGCAAGAGCAGTAAGAGTTCTTAACTACAGAGCTATCTCTCCAGTCCTGTGCTGTTGATTTTCTAAACACATAGGGAACTTTGGTTTTCTGTTTATAATGTGGGAAAACGAGCTGCTTTCCCTGGGTAGTTGATGTGGCATTGCTATATCTTGCAGAGAAAATTAGGACAACTGTTTTACCCACGGGATGGACAATGCTTGGATGCCTGAAGAAATAAAATGACATTTCACTCTGCCTCTGCCTGGGTCTCCAGGAATGAGAAGGACAAATGAGTTTGATGAGCAACACCTACAGTCCTAGACCCATGCAACTCAGTGGTGGTCCCTAAACACAAAGAGTGTAAAAGGAGACTAAATCTAAGGAAGGCAGCAATAGAGGAAAAATAGGGTTACAGTGACTTGATCTGATCACCATAGCTGAGCTCCTCCTAGGACTATATTAGGCTAGTCTAGGTGAGGGTGAGAGGTGTGAATAATGGCACGGGGCTGGAGGAGTGTTAAACTATAAATGATAGGGACTGCTTATTAGGAAGGGTTGGGGAGGAATGTGTGGAAACCTAGAGAGAGGACACAGCCATAGCTGTGTGGGAACTTCCTGTCAGCAACTGTACAAATAGCTGTTCACATGTCCTCTTATTTTTCCTCACAACAGTCCTTGTAGATTTTAGCTTTGGCTCTGTTGTACAGATGGGAATCTCAGGCAGTGAGATGGCTTCTATGCCTAGCTTGTGACCACTTCCCACAATGGCTCTTGGAGTGGTAACAGCAGCTGTGAGTGGGTCTGACTCCAAGTCCTAAGAATCTTAAAGCAAGGAGAAGTCTGTCTTCCCTGTTCTTAACTTTATACACTGGACCAAGGATATACTGATCTTGAATGTAATGAAGGCAAAGATCACTCATGGGTCATGAGAAGTGTGGAGGGTCTCACACACCCAAGGAATTGGTTCTCCCAGTTGAGTCCAAAGTGATTCATGTGGAACATCCCTCAGGGGCAGGAAGTGAGGCCTACTCCTAAGCTACAAGCCAGGTATTCTTATGGAAGAAGGGAAATCTCACCTATAGCCCCTTCCCTGGAGACTGGGGAATGCAGTCTGCCCTCAGAGCCTTGCAGATGGGTCAGCTGGCCCTGGATACCAGAGTGTGGGAAAGGCTGTTTCAGGTTCTCCTGGTGGGCTCTGCTTGATTACTGAGCTCCAGATGCTCCAGCTGTACTAGGGCCTGACTCTGAGGCCACTAGAGGGTGCTGTTCCCTTCCCCAGTAGAGACAAAGGGTTTAACAGCCAGTCAGGGCATGCTGGTCACACCAAGAATATTGGCAGTCAGGAACTATCCACCTTCCCCAGGGTCCCATGGTCCTGGAGAAAGACCTTTGATCTTGGGTTCAAATCTCAGTCCTTCCATCTACAAATTGAATGGCAGCTGAATACCTCACTTTTAAAAAACTGTTTTCTTACCTCTGGAACAGGATGATCACACTTTAGTTAGGTAGGCATGAAATTGGAGTAAGAGCAAGTGTTCCTTCCTCTGAGCTCTTTTGCTATACTCTGATCCATGGGGGCTGGGGCTCCAGCCTGTGACACCGGGCAGTCGTTCTCAGATGTGTTCAGGCGGAAGTTAGCCTTGGAGGGTTCAAAGGCAGCTCAGACCCTTTACAACTACTGGATTAGGTGGAGGCCACAGAAGGCAGGTGTCTATAGAGCTGTCAGCTGGAGTCAAGTAGTTTCTATACAGGAAATATTTTCAGCCTTTGTTCTTTGGGCAGCCACCATTACAATCTGGCATTGTTAAATCAATTCCTTCTTTCCTTTGTCAAACCTGTGTCTGTGTATAGACCTATGCTAGACCCAGGTGGCAGAGATAAGAACTGTGCCTGAAGGATGAGGAGTGGAGACAAATGTGAAGTTAAGCTAGTCCATCTGCTTCTGCAGCAGGACATGGGAGGGTTGTGAGAGCCAGTCATGAAGGTGACAGAAGCCACAACCATTGAGCACAAGCCTGAATGTGTGACAGGTAGGGTTCATGGCCCTGACCTGGCAGCTTCTTAGCAGAGTCACTTTAGGCAAGTTGCTTAATTGCTGTCCTAATAAAGATGTCCACCCCTTAGAGCAGATGTGGTGACTAAAAAAGGTAATCTCTGTACCATTTTCAGTACCGTAAGTAATGGCTACAGTTCTAGAAATGGCCACTGCCCATGGCTCCAGGACCCATTTCCACAGAGAGCCGCAGAGAATTTTGCAGGAGACCTGTGGATGCCCATTATTCAGGAGATTATTTGAAGCAAATGTGAAGGAGGTCATATAAGCTCTCATCTGATTTTACCATGTGGTTTCTTTGGAGAGGGACTGAGTTAGTGTGTTCAGAATCTGAGAAGCTCTGGGAAGACCATAATGTTTCATCTGAGTCTGAGTGGGGCATCATCTGGCTCCTAGAGAAAAACATGTTCTCATTTAATCCTCTTTGCCACAACCCTGGAGGCCTGTCCAGGTTACTTTACTTGCTTCTCTGGACTCCTGCCTCCTTCCCTCACCTCCTGGCTGACCTTCTCTGGCCATGCTGTCTAGCCCCAGGTTTTTGTCCTTGGTGTGCCCTCTGCCTGGAATACCCATCTCAGGTGGCCCGTTCCCCACACAGCTCACTCTCTGGAATAACTGATTTCCTGTTACTTATCCCTTGTCTGTCTTCTCCAAGGTTCAGAGCTCTGGGGTGACACAAGTACTGGGCTCGTGACTCATCAGCTCTGTGTATCCAGGAGGACAACCAGGCTCACAGGACGTTTGCAGTTAATTTCAGCTAATATTGCTGAACGAGTTTATGAAAGACATTTTTTTTGACAGGGTCTCAACAGTGTTGCCCTGGCCAACGTGGAGCTCGTTATGTAAACTAGCCTGACCTAGAACTCACAGAGCTCCTCCTGCCCCTGCCTTCCAAGTGCTGAGATTAAAGGTACCTGCACCCTCCCCAGCTGTAGGAAGGCACATTTTTAAAAGCTCATTTCATACATGAGTTAACGGAGTTTGCGGCAGAGGTGGGGGGAGGGGAAGAGCATGGTGTGCACGCAGTGCAGTTCGTCCCCAGGCAGCAGGGTGGGTGTGGTGAGGGGCAGACGCGTGGGCAGGTTGCACCTCCGGGCCCCGGGGCTGGCAGTGGGCCCCCGATCGCGGAGCGGGCGGGGCTAGAGTTTTGTGGGCGTGCGCCAAGGCGGGCTCAGGCACGCATCAGCGGGTGGCCCTGGGCTAGGTATCCACCGCGCCTCGGGGGCGGAGCTGGCGAGGCCACTGCAGTCCCAGTGTTTGCCTGGCGGGTCCCGGGACGGAAGCGCAGCTGGGACCTGAGCTACCCTCCTCGAGGAGTTCTCTGCCTGGCCGGACACCTGGGACAGGGAGCTTGGTGGGCTTCCTAGGGCCTGGGAGTTGGTGCCAAACTACTGGACTGGGTAGGGAGCATCCTGGCCCCTTGCTGTGGACCTGCACTTAGTAGCTGCGGTCTTCTCACCTGAGACCAGGTGGCTGGGCACCTCACAAAGTGAGCGCCACCAAGAAGAGGTAAGCAGCACATCAGAAGTGCCTGCAGGCAGGCATTAGGAGATAAAAGCTGGTTGTGGAGATTTTAGGAGAGGAAGCTTTCCGCAACTGATCCGTCCCCCCTGGAGAGATTGACATTGTATTCATTGGTCTTCCTTGGACTCCTAGGAATGACCCGCTGCAGAATATTGGGGTGTGTGTGTGTGGGGGGGGCTGTGCAGTGCAGTTTGTTACCACTATCTCCATGAGCTGCTTGGGAATGAAACCCATAGACAGGGTTTCTGTCCATCCACCCCCACCTGGGGGACTTGAGGGCCCCTGGTTCTCACTGGTCAGCTGGCAGCATCCCATCAGCCCTGGAGAGTGGATATGGTCACCTGGAGGAGATGCAAGCCCACATCTGCTTGGAAAGGATCTAAGGTTGGAGAGGCAGGCTACCCTCCCTACTGCCTTGGAGTGAGTGGGCTTTCTGAGCTAGCTTGTGGGGATTACAGGCCAAAAGGCTCTCACTCGCTGTTCAACAGAGGACTCAGGGCTTCCAGAGCACCCTCTCACTTGTGTGAGCACATCTCAGCATCTGCAGGTGCTCCCTTGGGCCCTGGCTCCATGGAGAATCAGGTGAGGCTTCCTCAGTGGTCCCGGGATGTCTGCAACCTGCCTGGCCACTTGGGCATTAACTTTTGCACAGGTTTACTTCCGTTTCTTCTTTTCAAAAATCTGTGTTTGGCAAGAGGGGTACCGATGAAATTAGAGCCAGGCTGACCAGGGGTCCAGCTCCACTTCTTATGTACTCTGGTGCTTCTGCCAGGCCCCTTCATTTCACCAGGCCTCCTCTTTAAAAAGAGGTCAGTAGTAGTTTACCGTCTTACAGGTCAATAATGCTCAGCTACTGGCAGCATCGTATGGATCAGACTAATGGTGCTTTCCTGGCAGGAGTCTGGTGTGGCCTACTGCTCAGGATGACAAGTGAAAGCCAATGTCTTTTCTGCCCTGTCTCCCAGGAAACATGAACTCTTGAGTGAGATAAGGCCCTCCCTCCTTGGGCTCTCTCCTCCAAGATAAGGGTCCTATAGCCTGTCTCCTGCAAGCTTTCCACATACTCCTCTTTGTTTCTTCTACTTCAGGGGCCTCAGCTCCTCTCCAAGCCTTGTATCTCCCAGGTCGTCTATGGGGCAGGCTCAGAACACTGATTTTTGCATGTTTGTTGCCATTGCTGCCTTCTACTGTCTCTTCGTTCTTCTGCACCTGAAGTTTCATTTTTAGGTGGTGGGAGGCAAGATAAGGCTCCTCTTGAGTGACTCTGAGATCATCACTGACTGTGAATGGGGTTGGTCCTTGACTCTGATCTAGGAGGAGTGGGAATGTAACCCTTTCCAGCCCTTTGGAGAGAGGGGTTCTGTCTCTGAGCACAACAGGGTCTTGGTGTTTTTGAGGTCAGATGCTAGTGAAGGACCAGAATGGGTGATGGGTCCTTGGGCCCTCCACTGGAGCTTCTTTTTGGTCTTAGTATAATACAGAACTGCAATCTGATGGACTCAGAATCCTAGACATGGGCTTGTGTTTTCCCGTGGCCAGCTCCTGCTGGGTGGGAGGTGAGGTCCCTTAAGATGGAGTTGATGGAATGAACAGAAAAGGAACTAATATTTGAAAGACACCTATGTGAGTCAATTAGGCCTTGGACCTCTCCACCTCCCAGGAGGCAGCAAAGTTTCTGAATTGGGCCTTGTCCATTCAATTGCATTGTCTGAAGAAGATGGAGACTGACCTGAAAGAGTACCAGGGTACTGGAGCTCCAAGTCCCACCTTCCCACTCCCCTTGGCCCCTTCTTCATCCCTGTCTCAGGAGTGAGCTAGATTACTCTGCAATGTGTCACTCACAAATCCCTTGTATAGCTGACGAAACTGGGTCTTAGAAAGTTTCAGTGAGCCTCACAAGGTGGCAGAGCTGGGATTTAAACCCAGGACAAACATGTGGTGTCTGGGATCCTGGCATGGAATGCTGCTCTTTTCTTACATACATATGCTACTTCCAGCCGTGTGGCCGAGAATCCTGCCATTGACCTCAGAAGCCCTCAGATGGTCTGAGAGCTAGACACATGCTCTTGTGTCAAAAGCCCACTAGCATCCTGATGACTACTGTTTTCAACGCCATGCCCCACTCTGGCCATTCCTTTCCTTGGGCTCTTTAGTCCCAATTGATACAGCTTAGGCTGAGCCATGATAGCTTCTCCCCAGGCCTTAGTGGCACCTAGTCCTCTTTACCTCCTCACCTGCTCTATTCCAGTGCATCCCTCAGGCATACTCCACCTTGTAGAGTGTTCCATGGAAGGAACCTGCTCTCCTGCTGAAGTGGGACTTGGGGTTTGAGTGACTATTGCTTTGTCCCAGAGTTTGCATCTAGAAATTCTCATTATGGGCTCCTAGCAGAATGGACTTGTAGAGTCCACTCCAAATTCTCCAACCCTTCCCTGCCTCTGCAGCTCTGAGAGATGATCAGGGGTCCATTGACAGTTTTACTTGTTTCCGGAATCATCTTCTTCCCAGATCTTGTTCTTCCCCCTACCCTGTTACCCAAAGCTGCTGGAAGAGCTCATCTGGGCTTGGACATTCATATGGTCTGATCAGAAGTGTTGATGTGTGGTGTCCTGGCCCACAGGTGACCATGCTGCAAATTAGCTTTCTCTTGGTTCTCTGAGGGGGAACACATGGCAGATCCCAGTGCTGCCTTCTTTAATGTGCCCTTTCTTCTTCCTTGGCCCTCTCAGAGCCTTACTCCACTCTTTATATCCAAGTGACCTTTCTGGAATGCACATAGCTTGCTGAAAACCTTTCAGTGGCTCACCTAGCATCCCTGGTGTGGCCTACCTCTCCAGCCTCATCTCCTTTTCCTTTCTCCCACCTTGATTCCCCCTATTCCAAACTGCTTGTTTTTCTCAGAAAGCTACTGTCCTTTGTGTCTTTGTGCCTTTATACATGCTGTTCCCCCACCTTCAGTCTCTCCTCTTCTTTGTCTGTTTGTGTGAGTGACTCCTCTTCAGGCTGTGAACTCCAGATCCAGTGCCCCTACTCTTCCTGTCTCCCTGTCCTTGGCTCCATCTCTGATCTCTCACAGGCAAGCCAGTCCTACTGACTATGGCAATAGCACTATGGCCTTGAGGTCCGTCTGCATTCCTGGGATCAGTTTCTTTGGTCTTATAAGGCCAAAGCTGTATGAGTGATCTCTGAGGCCCTTGTCCGTAGCCTAAGGCTTGGCCCATATTGATCAAGTGGATGAATGAAGTAGTGATTATTGCCTGGAGCCCTCCATACCTAGTAATTCTTCTCTGGTCATGCTGATGTTGCCCCACACTGAGGAACACAATCTGGCTGCTAGTCAGTTAGAGCCTTGAACTTCCATCCCCTTTGGGACTTTAGAGGTCAGTGCATCTGCCACAGGTTTATGCAATTGTGGCTTCCTTCTCTCAAATTCTGTTCCTTGTGTTTGACCTGGTATCTTTAAAAAATATTTATTATTTTTATTTTTATGCATATGAGTGTATTACCTGCATATATGTAAGTATACCTGTGTTGTGCAGTGTCCATAGATGTCACAAGAGCGTGTTGGATCGCCTGGGACTGGAGTTATTGATGGTTGTTAGCCACCATGTGGGTGTTGGGAATTGAACCTGGTTCCTCTGCAAGAGCAGCTAGTGTTCTTAACTGTGGAGTCATCTCTCTAGCCCTTGGCCTATTATTTTTCCATGTTGAGCTCCAAATGACCTTTTTGGCCAGAAGACTGTGGTACCAGCAAGACCCTTCTTCCTCCTGAGAGCTGGCAGTCTAAGTAAGCAGATTATAAGCTATCAGGCAGATTCATGAGTTGATTTCATAAGTGGTCAGGTGAGACTCATTTCTATATGTCAGATAAAATAAACAGTGAGTGATATTTGTGAAAGCTGGTAAACTGATTTTACTGATCTCTGGTTAATTTAGTTGTTCTGTCAAAATGGCACTTGATCATGAAGAAGAGATGTATGTTCCAAAATAGGCATGGCTAACATATGGGGATCAAAGAATTATCATAGACCGAGTATTCTGCTATCAATAGCATTTCTCAAAATTGGGCCCAACAACCATGTGCAGCAGAATCCTATAGACACCATGCTAAAATACAGATTCTTGGGTTCCATCTCAGACTCATTTAGCTGCGTCTCCTGGCGAAAGGTCCTGGAATCTGCCCTTTGAATGTGCCCTTGTGATGACTCTGGTGAAGGTTAAGAATGACAAACTTGTATGATTGATGATGCCTAGAGAACTCGTGTGGTGAGTTCCAGGGGGTGTACAGTGATAGGGTGGGTAACCTTCCACATCCAGATGCCCATCACTGCCTTTACTGCTCGAAAACTTTGTAATCTAAGGTCTGATGATTCAATTTTTGGCAGGGGATCTACTCGTTCAGGAAGCCTAGGGGAAGGGCAGCTCATACCCAGGAGATGGAGGTGTGTCTGGGAATTGCAAACTGTGTCAGGTGACTTGAGCATAGAAGGCTGTAGGGAAGGTGCTGGGCACTATGTTCATGGTGTAAATACACATGGTAGGCAGCAGGAAGAAGGTGGTGTGCTGATGAGCCTGCCTGCATTCCTGGCAGTCTTTACCTTTGTCACATCCCACCTAAGAAACAAGGCTGACAGGGAGCTAGGGGCTGACACCAAGAGGATGCACTGTGTGTTAAGCCCTGAAGTTTTGGTTCCGTGGGTGTCAAGAAAGACTGACAGAGTTGCTATATACAGCAGGGCCTGTTGTTGTCTTTATTGAGATAACATGTGACCTTGGGTTTTCTACACATGCTCCCAAACAGTTCTGCCCCTAAACTCTACATACCACCCTCCAATTTCTTTACTTTCAGAACAACCACGAATCCTGAGGCTGGAGGGAGCATGTGGGACAAGTTATGGCATCAGATTCTCAGATAGCTTATTAGCTATGCAACTATGGGTAAATTGCTTCATATCTGACTTTTAGGTTCTTCATCAATGAAATGGCTTGATAATATTTACCTGTCAGAATAAAGTAGCTAATATGTGAAAATTAATGAGCACAATCTCTGGCAAACCACAAGTGCTGCCTGCATGGTAGAAATTATTGGCTGCCAGCCCCTTAAGGCTTACATGATAGCTCTTACTACCATGGAATGGAAGAGGCTGGGAACCTTCTTCTCATTGATCCTTGTTCCTCTCTGGGTTCCATCCTGAAGGCATGATCCCTGAATCCCATTTGTCTGTTTGCATTGCAGGCCTCACCTCTGAATTGGGTCCTTTGGTTTTGGAGTCCCTGGCTCTTCTCATACCCACCATGAACACCTCTCATTTCCTGGCCTTGGATTTCCCAGGATCTCCACAAGGAAAGAATGGGAGCAAACCAAGGGACTTCCTTCACAACTTCTCTGACCACTGCCAGGATTCTGTGGACCTGCTGGCCTTCATCATCACCACCTACAGCATTGAGACCATCCTGGGAGTTCTAGGCAACCTCTGCCTGATATATGTGACCACAAGGCAGAAGGAAAAGTCCAATGTGACCAACCTACTCATTGCCAACCTGGCCTTCTCCGATTTCCTCATGTGTCTCATCTGCCAGCCACTCACAGTCACCTACACCATCATGGACTACTGGATATTTGGTGAAGTCCTTTGTAAGATGTCAACCTTCATCCAGTGTATGTCGGTTACAGTCTCCATTCTCTCACTGGTCCTTGTGGCTTTGGAGAGGCACCAGCTCATCATCAATCCAACAGGCTGGAAGCCCAGTGTCCCCCAGGCCTACCTGGGGATTGTGGTCATCTGGTTCATTGCTTGCTTCCTTTCTCTGCCTTTCCTGACCAACAGCATTCTGAATGACCTCTTCCATTACAACCACTCTAAGGCTCTGGAGTTTCTGGAGGACAAGGTGGTCTGCTTTGTATCCTGGCCCTCAGACTACCACCATGTTGTCTATGCCACCTTCCTGCTGCTCTTTCAGTACTGCATCCCGCTGGTTTTCATCCTGGTCTGCTATGTGCGCATTTACCAACGCCTGAGGAGGCAGAGGCGTGTGTTCCATAAGGGTATTTATAGCTCACGAGCGGGGCAGATAAAGAGAATCAATGGCATGCTTGTGACAATGGTGGCTGCCTTTGCGGTGCTCTGGCTGCCCCTGCATGTGTTCAACAGTCTGGAGGACTGGTACCATGAGGCCATACCTGTCTGCCATGGCAACCTCATCTTCTTGATATGCCACCTGCTTGCAATGGCTTCCACCTGTGTTAACCCCTTCATCTATGGCTTTCTCAACACCAACTTCAAGAAGGATGTCAAGTCCCTGGTGCTGATCTGCCATCACAGTGTACCCCCGGAGGAGTCTGAGAATTTGCCTCTGTCCACTCTAAACACAGAAATCTCCAAAGGGTCTCTGAGGCTGGGTAGCAGATCTAACCTCATTTAGCCATGCCTAGGGCTTCTCCCTACCGTTTTCCTTGCCAGGCTCTTCCACATAAGTCATACTGCAAGTTGGGAATGGCATTCTGACATTCCTGGCTCTGGGGGCCTAGATAGGATGGCAAGAGCCTTGAAGCTTGACATGCAAATGATTTAACCATTTGCCTCTGAGAGAATTCTGAGACCAGATTCTGCGGGTCAAAGTGAACTTTGTCGCTTGAGCTGCAGGATGCCAGCACCAGAGATGGCTGCTTCTAAGAGGCAGGAGCCGTCTTAGTTACTCAGCACAGATGCCTGGCCTGAGAACCTAGGGATTTCACCTCTACCAGTGACAACTTGTGACTACTATGGGGTGAGGGAAGGAGCACTTGGAGACAGAGCTGTGGACCTTAGTCAGCTGCTGCCCTCTGGTGAAGAATTCTGTAGACACAAGATGGAATTGTCCTATCATTACACATTCAGCCAAAGAGGATGGTTCCTGCTAGCCTGGGATCCCCACAGCCCTCTGCAGGAGTTCCCCACAGCACATTCAACTCCCTTCTCTTTTATTGTGTCTACCTCCTTATATGGAATCAGCTTCCAAGTGTCTGTCCTTGAGATTGTGAGTACACGGAGAGTGATAGCTATACTGTCACAGAGCTTGTGCCCTTCATGGCTCAGGCAGGCAGGATAGGCTTTCCATTGTGGATCAACGTAAAGGTACCATTCAATGCTGAGTGTTAGGATGAGGACAGGTGCCTTGTGCTGTGGTTCAGTGTAAGAAGGAGTCAAGACTGCTGTACCCACAGTCTCTCATCTGCATCTTGCCTCCCAGGGTCTCTTCTGACAAAGAAGTTGGGTGGACATGCTGAGGCCCTTTCTGGCAGTTACGTACTGCAGGGGCCTGTAATATACAGGACTGTGATAACAGTTTCCTACATCCATGCCCTGACCACTCAGTTAACTTACCCTAGGTGATGTGCCATGGTTTTTCCAAGGGATGTTGGGGATTTCAGTGCCTTCAGCAGAAACAGAGTCAGGGAGTCTTGGGAGTTTGTTTTGACGATGTACTGACTGAAAGGAGCAGGGAAGTTAGAGAATAGGTTATAATGAGTGTGAATGTCTCTTGGATGTTAAGGTTCAGTCCCTCTGGATGCTGAACTGGGTCCCTAAGGCATCCTCAGCATGTGGACCATACAGCCTGTCCTCACAGAGAAGGAAAGGTCAGGATTTCTCCCAGACCACCTAGGATGGGATATCCCAGCTTGGTTCTGTCTGTTTAAACCCATCCTCCAATAGGGTGGATATAATAGTCCCCTGGGGCAGGTGTTCACGTCTAGAACCCTTAAGGACTCATTGTGAGCTGCCAGCATAGGCTCTATACAGGGATCTGGCAGAGGTTAGGCAGCCCCTGATTGAGCAGCCATGTCTGATGAGCTTTCTGGCCTTGGCCCCTTACCAGGAACTTGTGCAGTAGATGTTGGAGACAATGTTGAGCCACTGCCTCCCTTTCTGGGGAAGCTTATCTTGTTTCGGTTTTTGATCACATCATCAGTTTAGCTCCTTTGTTCACTTTTATGTTGGATTTTGAGATTATTCTTTGTTTTTGAAGTAGGGTCTCACTCTGCAGCCAAGGCTGACCTAGAACTTCTATACACCCCAGGTTATCCTTGAAATCTTGCCAAGCCTCCTGTTTCGGTCTCCTGAGGACTGGAATTAAGGCACAAAGCATTATATGTGGTGAGAGATGAGTTTCTGAGTCACTCTCTCACATACAGTGTGCACTTTTTCTCTGGCATGGTCTGTTGATGACTATTCCAGGTGACCAGCATCTAGCAAAGCCCAGACTCTTAGGCCTATCCTGCCAAGTTGTCACTGTCCAAGTTCCACAAAGAATTGGGACATCAGACCTCTCCAGATCCTGTTCAGGTGCCTGCAGTGTATGCTTTTTTATTACCAGGTTCAGTGGAGACAAGATGCTGAGGGACAAGGAGTCCAGCATGCTTGAGTACAGGGGTCCAGACTAGGCATTGTAGTGAAGGTGTTAGGAATTAGGGTGCTGTGTAGAAGCCTCAATGAGTGTGTCCTGTGTCCCTACTTCCTCCTCTTTCCCTGCCCTTGGTTAAGTCAACATAGCTTACCTGGATGACTGTTTCTGATTCTGGTGTTAATGGTCTTTGGGATTGCTTGGTTATCAGCATCCTGAAGACTTGCTACCCTAAGTGTGGTTCAGAAGATCAGTACCTCAGTGCCACCCAGAGCCTATGAGATATGCAGAATCTTTGTTGCCATTCCAGATGTGCTGAACAGGGGTCTGAAATTTGTCAAGATCTGTAGGTTAATTGTAGGCACATTAAAGTTAGAAGCTCTGCTCTAGGAAACAGATTGCCTTGGGGTTTGGGGTTACTGGAAACACCTGCAAATGTACACTCTAGTATCTGGAGTAGATCTACATTCTGGACACATCTTTAAACTTTGAATTGCTGAAAAGGTGTGCTCAGTTTTTGCTGTGTTGTCTCTGGCTACATGTGGATATACTTCTTGTGAAGTCTTTTCATTCCTTCAATAAATAAATACTTGCCAAATGCAGAGCTTGCAAAGTTCCATTCATAAGGAACATACCCTTTTGTATTTTGTTCCATTTCACTTAACATTGCAATGGAAAGTTGTTTCCATTTTGCTGAATACATTTTTCTTTTCTTTTTTTTTTGAGAAAGCGTCTCCCTCTAGCCCCAACTGGCCTGGAACTTGCTATGTAGACCAGGTTGGCCTTGATCTTACAGAGCTCTGCCTCCTGAATGCTGGGATTAAAGGTGTGTACCACCTGGCCCTAATAAAAATTTTGATTTTATTATTAAATGTTTAAAAAGTATGTACATGAGTGATTTGCCTCCATGTAACTATACCCATGCCATGTAACGCCTGCTGAGGCCAGAAGAGGGCGTTGGATCCCCTGGATCACCCACATGAGTGCTGAGAAATGAACCTGGGTCCTCTGCAACAGCAGCTAATGAGTGCTCTTAAATGCTAAGCCATCTCTCTAGCCCTGGGATATCATTTTCATTAGCACTTTATCAGTTTCGAAACTGCTCCAATGAAAGTTGGAACCTCTCAGTATTTCTCTTTAGCTCCTGGGGGAGAGGAAAAGGAACAGAGGAGGCATCTCTTGCCCAGAAAATTGATTATATGACAACTTTAGTGGCTACACCCTATAAAGGACTACTAAGGTTGGAATTGGAGACTTAGCCTTACAAAGAAGGCTTGGGAGCTCTCATAGTCTACAAAGCCTTATCAGATCCTGGCAGTAAGAGTCATTCCTGTTTAACTCAAGCATTTTCCTTTTAAAGAAATTACCTTGACTTGCTTTCTCTATTATAAAAATAATCCTATTCATCCTTGAAAATATGCAACATATACAGGGGGGCAGAGAGATGGCTCAGGGCTTAAGAGTGTGTACTGTTCTTGCAGAGGACCAGAGTTTGATTAATGCTAGACAGCCCATAGCCACCTATAATTCTAGTTTCAGGGGATTCAACACTCTCTTCTGGCCTCCTTGGACACCTGCACTCATGTGCACATACCCACACAGACACATAATTAAAAAATAAAATCTTTTTAAAAAGAAAATATGCAACACATACAAAAATAAAGTAAAAGAAAAAAGAAGGAAAATTGTTCATAGCTCCATCATTCAAAGATGATAACTGTTTATATTTTGGGGAGTCATTTTTAGATGATATTTGTATAATTACACATGCATAGGTATTTTTAAAAAGATGATTGAGGGGGCTGGAGAGATGGCTCAGCAGTTAAGATGGGTGTTCTTGCAGAAGACCCAGGTTTGAATCCCAGCACCCATAGGTCAGCTAACAACCATCTGTAACTCCAGTTCCAGGGGATACAGTGCCCTCATTTGTCCTCTACAGGTATTGCATGACATGGGTGCACTTACACACTTGCAGGTTTAACACTCATAAAATAAAATTAATTTAAAATATGATTGAGATTAAATTACATATTGATATTTACATGTTTATACTATTTAAGGTCTAGGCCACTATGGAATTAACTGTATAGCTTAAGCTGGCTTCAAAATCATGATTCTCCTGCCTCTGTCTCTTGAGTACTAGCATTACAAACCAGTATCACCACATCTGGCTTAGTTCGAGTTTTTTCATTTATGAATTTTCATTTTATTCATTCACTCAACAAATATGCCAGACACCATATTAGCTGCTAGAGGTGCAATGATAAAGTAGACACTGCCCCATTCCACGATGTGTGCAGCCCATTGAACAGGTGTAGCTTAGGCTCTTGACCATCATCTACTGTGGCATACAAGGGGTTTTAGAATTATTGCATAGATTTCTGTGACAAACAGCTACGGAGAGAACAACTTCCATATTTGGAATGATTTCATTTCCAGGAGCGAGATTAATGGGCTAAGGTATATCTAGGTTATTTTTTAAGATGCTTGATTTTTCAAAAGGGACGGAACAATTGCATTTCCTGAACAGTCTGTTTCATTGACTCTGGGCTGCCATTGAGGATTTACCATGAACAAAAAGACTTTGTCCAAAAGTACCTGGACTAGAGGATGACTCATCTCTTTCTTCTGTGATCTTTGCAGTCCTGTAGGCATTGACCTAAGGACAGCTGCTATCACTCTGTGAGGTTGCAGGAGCTCCACATGGCCTTGCAAGACTGTACAACTCATCATCTAAACTAGGATCCTTGAGCCCTGCTAATAAACATCCTGGAATAACACTACCCCCTGGGACTGCAGTGTGAGGCCATCCTGCTGTAGATAACACAGCTTGACTCCAGCAAGCTTGCTCTGGTTCCAACCCATCTTTCCTGTCTTTTGTGTTCTGATTGTCTCATGTGGTCTCATCACAAAGGACCTGCAGTTCTCCAGTATGCCTGAGCTTTACACTCTGAACGTTTGCACCCATCATTTTTCCTCCTGCCTCCCACCCTGCTGTCGGTCAGTGTTGCCTCACTCACCATTCAAGCAGGTCTAAATCCTACCTTTCCTTCAAAACATTAAGACCGCTAGCATTCTTTATCACTGTATTCGTCAAACAAATACTGACGGCTCATCATGTGGCAGGCGTGTAAAAAAGAAGACTGAAAAATTCGTCATCTAAACTGAAATACTTAATATTGCCTCTCATGGATGTTTCAACTCATGTGCTGTTGTAATAGCTGGTCCTAGGGATGGGCACTGTGATGTGCTGGACAATGTCCTCTGCTGTGGAGGAGACACACCCACCATCCCATAGGGTTGTGAACTCTGTGAAAGCAAAACCCCAAAAGTCCATCTTACATCCCTGTGATCTCTCAAATGCCCTCAGATAGAGCAAGTACCCAACAAATGTTTGCCAAGTGAAGTTCACATATTTAGCTTAAAGAGGGTTTTCTAACAACTAGTTGAAATTTCTCCATGAATCTGTAAGATCAATCAAAGGGGGAACCTAAATCACTCCCACTCTTCAAGTTCTGTGACTTAAAGGAAGCTGTGTGGGAGTGTGGCTGGGTAATTAGGGCCTTGAGGTTTCTCCTTGTTTAAATATCACCACTTACTTGGAATTTGTTTCCTCTGACTCTGAAAACAGTTTATCAGTGTAATTGGAGGCCAGCCTAAAGCTCTCTGAAATGCATATCCTTTCATTTATAAAGCCGTGAATGGGGCATTCGTCATTCTTCTGACTGCCAAAGAAACCAGACTGGAAATAGGGCATGTGTTCAGAACACCAGCCTGCTGGTGCAAACTCTCAGATAGCCTTCACCAGGCAGATGCTTGGTTGAGGCCAGCAGCTTGTGCCACCTGGTGTCATTTCAGCCTCTTGTGGATGGTAGACTGTCATAGGTTTTCCTAGAGAGAAGGCCTCTTTTAAGAGCCTTTTGATTGGGGGCTGGGGAGATAGATAGCTCAGTCAGTAAAGTCCTTGCCATGCAAGCATGAAGACTTGAGTTTGATCCCTAGAACCCAGATATGGTGCTGCATTCTCATAATCCCAGCTTTGGAGAGGCAGAGGTAGGCAGATCTTTGGGGTTTGTTGATTAGATAGCCTAGCCTAATCAGCAAGCCCCAAAGGTCCCAGTGAGAGACTCTGTCTCAAAAAACAAGGCTGGCTCCTGAGGAATGACACCTGAGATTGACCTCTGTTCTCCACATACATGTTCACACACATGAACACACAGACACACACACACACACACAGACACACACACACACACACACACACACACACACACACAATTAAAAAAAAACCATAACCTTTGGCTTTATGGGACAGACCCACCTCTTCAGCCCTCATCTGTGCAACCACACAC